GCAAGAGAATCGCTTAAGCCCAAGAGTTTGAGGTTGTTGTGAGCTGTGATGCCATAGCACTCCACCAAGGGCAACATAGTGAGACTGTCTCAAAAAAAAAATTCATTAATTTAAAATAAATAAATAGGTAAACACATGAAATGAATTTTAGTACAGCCATGCATTCCTTAATGACAGGGATAAGTTCTGAGAAATTTGTCATTTGCTAGGTTTTGTCATGGAAACCTAGCATGTACTTACACAAACCTAGACCGTGGCACCTACTACACACCTGGGCTATATTATGTAGCCTACTACTCCGAGGCTACAAACCAGTACAGCATGATACTGTATAGAATACTGAAGGCAACTGTAAAACAATGATATTTGTGTATCTAAACATACCTAAACATAGAAAAGGTACTGTAAGGCCAGGCGCTGTGGCTCATGCCTATAATCCTAGCACTGTGACAGGCCAAGGCGGGTGGATTGCTTGAGCTCAGGAGTTCAAGATCAGCCTGAGCTACTGCAAGACCCGGTCTCTAAAAATAGCCAGGTGTTATGGCAGGCACCTGTAGTCCCAGCTACTCTGGAGGCTGAGGCAAGAGGATCACTCACTCAAGCCCAAGAATTTGAAGTTGCTGTGAGCTATGATGCCACCACACTCTATCAGGGGCAACAAAGTGAGACTCTGTCTCAAAAAAACAGAAAAGAAAAGGTACTGTAAAAATATGGTATTAAAGTCTTGAGACCTGGCACAGTGCCCATAGCACAGTGGTTATGGCATGGGCCACATACACCAGAGGCTGGTTGGGTTCCAGCCTGGCCCGGACCAGCTAAACAACAGTGACAACTGCAACTAGAAAATAGCCGGGTATTGTGGCAGGTGCCTGTAGTCCCAGCTACTTGGGAGTCTGAGGCAAGAGAACTGCTAAGCCCAAGAATTTTTTTTTTTTTTTTGAGACAGAGCCTCAAGCTGTCCCCCTGGGTAGAGTGCCGTGGCATTACAGCTCACAGCAACCTCCAACTCCTGGGCTCAAGCGAGTCTCCTGCCTCCGCCTCCCAAGTGGCTGGGACCACAGGCGCCCGCCACAGTGCCGGGCTATTTTTTGGTTGCAGCCATCATTGTTGTTTGGTGGGTCCAGGCTGGGGATTCGAACCCGCCACCTTAGGTGTATGTGGCTGGCGCCTTAGCCGGTTGAGCTATAGGCGCCGAGCTTAAGCCCAAGAATTTGAGGTGGTTGTGAGCTGTGATGCAATGGCACTCTACCAAGGGTGACATATTGAAACTCCGTCTCAAAAAAAAAAAATCTTATGGGACCACTATTGTGTATGTGGTCTGTTATTGAGCATCATTATGTAGCATGTGAGGATATGACTAGGATGGACTCTGGATTTTGTTTAAACTTTTTTTTTTTTTGAGACGGAGTCTCACTTTGTCACTCTCAGTAGGGTACCGTGCCATCATAGCTCATAGCAACCCAAACTCTTGGGCTCAAGTGACCCTCTTGCCTCAACCTCCCCAGTAGCTGGGATTACAGGCTCCTGACACAACTCCTGGCTATTTTTAGAGACGGGTTCTTGCTTTAGCTTAGGCTGGTCTTGAACTCCTGAGCTCAGGCAATCTACCCACCTCGGCCTCTCAGAGTACTAAGATTACAGGAATCAGCTACCTCACCCAAACCCTTGTTTGAACTTCTTAAACTGCACCCACCTCTCTCATCTAACCTCATCCCTTATCTCCTTCTCTAATCATGTCCCAAACGGCCTTCATGCTGTAGAGAGACTATTCTGAAACACCATTTTTATCATACAGTATATCTTCTGTGCTCACAAACCTCCACGATCTAGGAGGATTGTCCAGTCTTCCTCCTGATATTCCAGGCCATATATAAACTGGCCTCAATTTTATCTCCATTTGTCAGACACAAGGTTCTGTAGAGTTCAAGAAGATAAGCTTTGGAGTAAGATCACCTGGGTCACCCTGCTGTTACTATGGGTTAACTAAATTCATATGTGCCTCAGATTCATCACCTTTAAAATAAGGACAATAACAGCACCTATTTAGCAGTGTTTGGTATATAATAAAGGTACTCAATAATCATCAATTGTGATTATTATTAAATAATTTGCTTTAGTGTTTTTGTGCATATCACAGTTTATAATTTTATAATGCCTTATTTACCTTTTTTATTGCCTCTCTCTCCGAGTGGACGGCAGGCGCCCTTCATGAGGGCAGGGATCTCATTAGTTTTATTTTAAAATATTTTACCAGGCCAGGGGCAGTGGCTCACACCTATAATCTTAGCACTCTGGGAGACCAAGAGGCAATAAACAAGGCAAATAAAGCAATATAAAATTATCAATTGTGTAGGGCCAAGCGCAGTGGCTCATGTCTGTAATCCCAGCACTTGGGAGGCTGAGGTGGGTGGATTGCCTGAGCTCACAGGTTCAAGACCAGCCTAAGTAAGAGTGAGACCCCCTTCTCTAAAAATAGCTGGGTCTTGTGGCAGACGCCTATAGTTCCAGCTACTTGGGAGGCTGAGGCAAGAGAATCACTTGAGCCCAGGAGTTTAATCTGCTGTGAAATAAGACGCCACAGCACTCTACCAAGGGTGACCAAGTGAAACTGTCTCAAAAAAAAAGAAAAATTATAAATCATGATATGCACTTTGGGAGGACAAGACAGGAGGGTTACTTGGGCTTAGGAGTTCAAGACCAGCCTGAACTAAGAGTGAGATCCCATCTCCACTAAAAATTGAAAAATTAGCCACGTGTTTTGGTGAGCACCTATAGTCCCAGCTACTCTGGAGGCCAGAGCACGCTAGCCTGGGCAATAAAGCAAGACTCTGTCTCAAAAACAAAACAAAAAAAACCCAAAATGTTTTACCATACCTATCACATGGTCTGACACATAGCAGGTGCTCATCAAATACTTACTGAATGCCCTCTCAGTTGTCCAATTCTTAGTTCATTCATTCATTCAGCAAATAATTAGGGAGTCTCCTACCATGTGCCAGTCTCTATATTAGGTGCTAGCAGTAAAGCAGTGAGCAAAAAACAGACAAAAATCCCTGCAGTTCTTGAGGTAGGAGATATACAGTAAAGTGGTTATGGATTTGTTCTAACATGATCCAGCATTCCAATCCTGACTGAAATCAGAATCCCTGGGCATCTTTTTTTTTCCTCTTGAGAGAAGAGTCTCATTCAGAAAGTGAGTCAATCTGGGTAGAGTACCGTGGCATAACACCTCACAGGAACCTCTAACTCTTGGGCTCAAGTGATCCTCTTGCCTCAGCCTCAGCCTCCTGAGTAGCTAGGACTATAGGCACTCATCACAATAGCCCACTATTTTTCAATTTTTTTTTTTTTTTTTTAGTACAGCTGTGGTGGTGGGGAGTTGTCTCACTCTTGCTCTGGCTGGTCTCAAACTCCTGAGCTCAGGCCATCCTTCCAGAGGGCTAGGATTATAGCTGTGAGCCAATATGACTGGCCATTAGTGTTTCCTTCAAAAAAAAAAAAAAAAGCAGGTTCTAAGGCCCACCTCACACCATTGCTTCAGACTTTTTTTAAAGCTGCCCAGGGCCGGGTGCAGTGGTTCATGCCTGTAATCCTAGCACTTTGGGAAGCTGAAGCAGGTGGATCAACTGAGCTCAGGAGTTTGAGATCAGCCTGAGCAAGAGCAAGAGCAATACCCCCTCTCTACTGAAAACAGAAAAACTCGCCAGGAGTTGTGGTGGGTGACTGTTGTCCCAGCTACTTGGGAGGTTATAGAATTTGAAGTTGTTATGAGCTATAATGCTATGTATGCTACCCAGGGTGACAGAATGAGATGCTGTCTCAAAAAAAAAAAAAAGGGAAACAGATAATAGCTGGTCCAGTATTCCTAACATTGAGTGCTACAGTATATTTGGAAGGGGAAGAGTTGGTCACAAGTTCTGTGACAATTTTTAAGCATGAGATTTTTAATGACATGATTTAAATATTTCTTTTAGCAATTACAAATGCCAATTTTTTATTTGGCAGTGACATTTCCTAATTGGAAAACCTAAAATTTCCTTAATCAGTGTTTCTCACACTGATTCCCTGAGTGTATTCCCAGGGGTCTTTCGAATTATTCAATTTTGAAGAATATATTAGTTGCTAGAGTAAGGCTGACCCAAGTCTACTCAATAGCGCATTGCCCTCCCAACTTGAGAGGGGACTTGGTTTCTGACCCAGCCCTATGTCCTATAAGATATCCCAGAAAGTCCACTTTATCCCAGAGCAGTGTGCTGGCAGCTCAAGTTTGCTCCAGTTTTAGGTATAAGAAAGTGAAGACTGAAGCCCTTGATCTCGATATCCCTGGCCATTTCCTTAGACCACACGCTATAGAGATGAGTTTGGGAAGGATCTCACCTGCACATCAGCTTACTACCCTGAGAAGGGGGATTCTTCTGCTCGACGCCGTTCCCTGATGATAATTATAGTGGGAAGTAAAGAGATTGGCGAACTAGATGTGCCTGAGTTCAAATCCCATCTTCCCCTACTCCACCCCCTTTTCCTGCTAGGTGTGCAAGCTCTGGGCCAATAATTCTCTGCGCCTGTTTCCTCATTTGAAAAGAGCACCTGGTAACAACTCATAGTGGTTGTTACAGTTAAGAGAGGCTTCTCTCGCACACCTCAGGCACTGAGTTTCCCTCCTCCCGACGATAACTAAGGGCACCTGCATCCTCCACAACCCTCCTCTGTGCTCATCCGGGTCCCACCGGTAGAAGTGAGCTAATTCCTCGCTAACGTCTATGTCAGTCTCATACCCATTAGGAAAACCGCCTAGTTATCCCGACTGTGCGGCGGAGGGAGGGTGCAGCTCTGAAACCAACTCTAGAACACAGGCAAGGCAATCGCGAAAGATTCACCCACCAGAAAACCTCTGGCCCGAGACCACGACACTCCTCAGCACGGCACGGCCCCCAGACCGCCCCGCTCCGTCCCGCCGCGCTGACGTGATTGTGCGCGCGTCTTCCGCGCCGGGCCCCGGCGCATGCGCGCTCTGCGCTGTCTTCTCCCGGTCAGAGCAGCAGCCGCGGCGGCGTTTGAGTGGACGAAGATGGCGGATCGGGGCGACTCGGGGTCCCGCTAGCTGTGAGGACCCCAGCGTACTGCAAGTGCTGCGTGAGGCAGAGCGAGTCTGCTCTGACCCTGTCCTTGGTTCCCTCATCACGGTCGCCAGCGGAGCGAACCCGAGAGCGTAGAGCGGGCTGGGCCAGGTGAGGCCTCTCCCCCTCCCGGGGCCGTGGCGGGGAGCCGGCGCCTCCTGCCCTTTATGCCCCGGGCCCGAAGGAGGCAGCGGGCCCCCCAGGTCTGGAGCGGGGGTCTATCCTGGCTGGTCAGGGCGCTTTGCTGTCGCCGTCCTCGGTCTCTCCTGGGTTAGGCGGGGAGGACGCGAGCCCCTTTCTAGCCAGCCCTTGGAATGGGAGCGAACCCGTCTTCTCGCCTCTGCAGGGCGGTTCTCGTCCCTTCGGGGCCACGAAGGGGTGTGTGGCAGGGAAGGGATAGCTTTAGGGTGTAAGATAATCTTTCCACCAACCCCCAAACCTGTAACTCCTGGTGAGAGAAGCCAGAGTGGGGTGCCTTCCAAAACTGGGCTGCGGCTAGGGGCCAGCATTTCTGAAGCTGCAGCTGCAAAGGGATGATTTTGGAATCGGTTTGCGAAATAAAACACTAGCAGCTTTTCCTATCCGCTAGCTTGTTGAGTGTTCCCTAGAGAAATGGGAGCTGCAGAGCTCATTGCCCGAGACGGCAGTCCATGCTGTAACTGGAAGATTTCCCCGGGTGAGAATTGTGTGCAAAGGCAACGGTGGAGGGTGGGAACGAATTTGTGGATGAAGAGAAAACAATTGTGAGGTCTCGATAGTCTCAGCCGAGCCACTTCAGCGCTAATGGAGTTCGTTTGAAACCTTCAGAAAAACCAATTGCTTTGTCTGTTAATAATCCAGATTTTTGGGGGGAAAATAAAAGCTTCATTTCTTTTTTTTTTTTTTTTTTTTTTTGAGACAGAGCCTCAAGCTATCCCCCTGGGTAGAGTGCCGTGGCATTACAGCTCACAGCAACCTCCAATTCCTGGGCTCAAGCGAGTCTCCTGCCTCCGCCTCCCAAGTAGCTGGGACCACAGGCACCCGCCACAACGCCCGGCTATTTTTTGGTTGCAGCCGTCATTGTTGTTTGGCGGGTCCGGGCTGGGGATTTGAACCCGCCACCTTAGGTGTACGTGGCTGGCGCCTTAGCCGGTTGAGCTATAGGCGCCGAGCCAAAAGCTTCATTTCTTAATTGTCAAAGTCTGGATTTTTCTGTGGTGGGATTCTGCTTGATCTAGATGTAGATTCAGACACCTTACCAGTTTGCACTTGCGGGCAGGGACATTGTACTGTGCTTGTTAATTCCTTTTTGAGAACAACTTTCTGTTGTTGTTCACATGCCAAGCTGGAGACTTTGACTTAGTTTCTCTGGTGTGGGAAAGCTGGTTTGAAGCCTGTGGTCTCTTCCTTGAGGAGTGATGCCTTCAGTTAGAATTGTGCTGTGGGGAATTGTTGAGACAATTGCTTTCCCTTGAACACACCGAATACCTTTTGTAACAAACTGATTTTGCTTAAGAATGATGACATCATGGATTTAAAGGAACAAGGAGAATTTGGGAGGAAATACCATCATTTAGAATTGAACATTTAGACTTTAGTCTGTAGCTCTTACAGTGACTAGTGATGCTCTGTGTCACATTTGCTAACTTTGAGAGTATTCAAGTGTGTAATCTGATTGAGCGTCATTTCTATCTTATGTTGTTACTTTGTACCCAGTAACTGCTTTTGACAGGCCCAATATTAATATGTTATCCTATTTACCTTGGTCCTTGGGTGTGTTGTGTGTGTTCTTCAAAAAGCTTTTAGTTGTTAAAGTGACAACTGTTTAGTTTAACATTAGCTCATTCTTTGACTATTTTTTCCTTTTCTATTTTTAAACTCTTTTCCATAGAAATTTATAGATTTTCTTTGTGCCTTTTCTAAAATGTAAGCCTGAACCAGCAACTTCTCTGTGATAGAAAAAATTGGAGAGCCACTTTGCATATCAGTTTGCTAATAAAGAATCTTGAAATTAATGCAGTAAAATGTCCTGGTGGTTTGACATTATGCTTCTTGGCATAATATGTTGCATTGTTGTGCTAAATCATCATCAGGTATTGCTGCAACTTCATGACATCCATGACATCATTCGCTGTACAGCATTTTGGCTTTTGCAATTCCTTACCTCTCTCAGTTACAAAAGGAACAGAATCAGGAAAAATAGTTTAGGATGCTTCTTTTTAATGTCTCGTTTCTAAAAGGGCCTTTATTTAATGCTGCTTTAGATAGTTTAAACTTTTCCTTAAGATTTAGAGCTGTGTAATTGTTTCTCCCTATTACGAAGAGCAAGCAAAGAAAATGCTAGAAAAACCTTTGAGTTTAATGAGAATATTTAGGTCTCACGGAGAAGCTATCTCAAAGAAGAACAAATATGTGATGGTCTTTCTGATTTTAGGGTTGTTTTAGTGGCTAAATTAACCACTCTTTATAAAACCAGAAACCATTTGGTTAAATAATGCCCTTCCCACTTCACAAGATTGTTACGTGGATCAGAAAAGATACTGTTTGTGAAAGTGCTTTGTAAAATGTAAAATAAGGATAAATATAAGATTGATTATCCCTATTATATGAACCACTTATTGAAAAGGCCTTTTTCATGCTAGACATTTTGGGAAGTAGGTACTAATGATTCTAAGACAAGACAGCTTTTGGTCTGAGGTTGCCTATGGTCTGGTTGGGGAGGCAGACATGGGAACCCTTTAAGCATATTGTAGTTAATATAAGAAGAGCACCGAACTGACCAAGAGAGTCAAAGAAGGCTTCTTTGGGCTGGCATGGCTTTTTTCCACCCTTTCCTGTTCTGCAAAGTCTACCTTTTGTGAGTGACTTGCTTTTTATAAAAACTTCAAAAAAATTCTCTTTTCCCTTTTATTCATTCACTGTCATGACACTTCCCACACAGTATGCCCCAGTTACGGTTTCTGCATTCTCCAAAATCCAACAGTCTTGGGAGAACCTTTCTGAGTGAGTCATATGCACAAGCAACAAACACAAACGTTGCAGCTGCAATTAAAATATCTCAGATTACTAAGTGGTGACAGCTTTAGAGTGATGATGTTTTTTTTTGTTTTTGTTTTGTAGACTAGCACAAGAGGAATTGTACGTTTAATTTGATCACATTAAGTTAATACAGTAAATGTTAGTTGTTGTGCCTTACAGTATTGCGTTAGGTGATTATTAGTATTGTCTCCTTTTTCCCAATAATAAATAGAACGAGAAAGTCAAAATTCATTTTGAGGTAAAGCTGACAGCTTAAGTCAGAATCCTGCTGAAATATTTTATAGACTCTATTTAGGAGGTTTGGGGTTGCTTAAGTATCTCTGATACTGAACTGTGTCCGAACACGCATTATACACTCTAGTGATATAGTTGTTTCGTAATGAATGTTTTTACCTACATTATAAAACTTAATACATTTTTGGATTGAGCAGAATCTTAACATGGCACAGTTATTATTTGAACATGTGCCATCTATATTTTAACTAAAAACGGATGCCCTAAGGTTGTGAATGACGTAAAAGTGAAGGTGATGCTTTCATTTTCCACGTTGTGGCAGTTTGTTACATGTACAAGGATATATAACCTAAAGGGAAATCATTTAAACATTGCCCAGTATGAAGCTTATAATGCAGCTGGTTTTTAAAGTTGTTTCCTGTGACATTTTCCTAAAAGCCTTGTAAAGTTATTCATGTATTAGAGAGCAAATTTGCTTTGAATTTGATTCTTCTATAATAAATTTCCACTTCTGAATTTATAAAGTTTTCTTCTAAACATCTAATTTAATTTTTTCCAGGCTGGGAGTGGTAGCTCATTTCTCTTCTAGCACTTTGGGAGGCCAAGGCAGGAGGATTGCTTGAAGCCTGAGATTCAGCAACGTAGTGAGACCCCCATCTCTACAAGAAAAATAGCAAAATTAGCCAAGTATGGTAGTGTTGGCCTCTAGTCCCAGCTAATTAGGATGCTAAGGCAGGAGGCTTGCTTGAGCCTAGGATTTTGAAGTTGCAGTGAGCTATGATGATGCCACTGTACTCCACCCTATCTGGGGTGATAGAGTAAGACACTGTCAATTTTTTATTCCAGTGTTGCTGCTGTATGTTTTGCTTCAAAGATAAAAGTATCTTGTGATGCTTTGATATAGAGCCATACTCACACATGTGTGTTTATATATATATACTATGTACATCTGATAGATATTAGGTATTAGAAAAAACAACAGTCACTTGTAAAATTTTACTATTCTGAACGGTAACTTAGATGGCAACATTTTCTCTTCTAGTAATAATAGATTTGAAGTAGTTCTTTTAATTTCTGTAAAGGCAAACAAGTTTTAGTTTTGGGGTAATGTACTTTTTCTTTTTCTTTTTTTTTTTTTTTAAACGGAGTCTTAAGCTGTCACCCTGGGTAGAGTGTTGTGACGTTATAGTTCACAGCAACTTCTAACTTGGGCTAAAGCGATCCTCTTGCCTCAGTTATTTTATTTTATTTTATTTTATTTTTAAAGTAGAGATAGGGTCTCACTTTTTTGCTCAGGCTGGTCTCCAACTTGTGAGCTCAAGCAATCTGCCTGCCTCAGCCTCCCAGAGTCCTAGGATTACAGGCGTGAGCCCCTGCACCCAGCTAGTATACCTTTAGAATGCTTTTTTTTTTTTTTTTTTTTTTTTGGAGAGAGAGAGTCTTACTTTGTCACCCTGAGTATAGTGCCATGGTGTCATCATAGGTCACAGCAACTTAAAAATCTTGGGTTTGAGCAATTCTCTTGCCTCAGCCTCCCAAGTAGCTAGAACTATAGGCATGCACCACTACACCTGGCTATCTTTTCTATTTTTAGTGGAGGCAGGGTCCTGCTCTTGCTCAGACTGTTCTCAAACTCCTGAGCTCAAATAATCCACTGGCCTCGACTCCCAGAGTGCTAGGATTACAGGCGTGAGCCTCTGTGCCAGCCAAATAAATTTCTTTGTTTCTCTGTATCACTGTAGGCACATGGATTTTAATTTAATCATTATATTATACTTAGTTGTAGCCATTTGTCTTGTTGACACTGAAATTTGGCCAGTAAAAGCATCCATAAGTGTTGTGTACTTTTTTTTTTTTTTTTGAGACAGAGCCTCAAGCTGTCCCCCTGGGTAGAGTGCCATGGCATTACAGCTCACAGCAACCTCCAACTCCTGGGCTCAAGCGAGTCTCCTGCCTCCGCCTCCCTAAGTAGCTGGGACCACAGGCGCCCGCCACAACGCCCGGCTATTTTTTGGTTGCAGCCGTCATTGTTGTTTGGCGGGTCCAGGCTGGGGATTCGAACCCGCCACCTTAGGTGTACGTGGCTGGCGCCTTAGCCAGCTGAGCTATAGGCGCCGAGCCAAGCAATTGAATTTTAACATAAGATTTTTTTTCCTTTAGATTTTAATTGTCTCTTATACTCAAAATTTTGGATTTAATAGTGTTAACATTTATTTGCTTTCCTTCATATATATAAGAAGATTTAAAAATGGAGGATCAGGGCTCGGCACCTGTGGCTCAAGTGGCTAAGGCGCCAGCCACATACACCTAAGGTGGCGGGTTTGAATCCAGCCCAGACCCGCCAAACAACAATGATGGCTCCAACAAAAGAATAGCCTGGCGTTGTGGCGGGAGCCTGTGGTTCTAGCTACTTGGGAGGTGGAGGCAGGAGACTCGCTTGAGCCCAGGAGTTGGAGGTTGCTGTGAGCTGTGAAGCCATAGCACTCTACCAGGGGGATAGCTTGAGGCTCTGTCTCAAAAAAAAAAAAGAAAAAGAAAAAAGAATATTATATCCATCAAGATCTAGCCAAAAACTGGAAAACTACTAGATATTTCAGGGGAGACTTGATACAGGGCTGTAATTACATTTGTGTTACAAAGAACAGTAGAACAAAAAGGAATAGGGTGGGTATCTTAGTCTGTTTTTGTGTTGCTATAAAAAAACACCTGAGACTGGGTAATTTTACAAAAGAAAAGAGGTTTATTTAGCTCCTTGTTCACACTGACAAGTTCAAGGGCCTGGCCCTGGCTTCTGACAAGGCCTTTCCTACTGTGTCATAACATGGCAGAGAAGGAGAAAAGGGAAGTGGGAACAGGGAAAGACCTGAGGGATGTTCTGGCCTTATAACAGCTCACTCTCCCAAGAACTAATCTGTTCCCCGATAAGTGATACAGTCTCATAGCCAGAACTCACTACTTCTGTAACAGTACCAAGCCAATCATAAGGGAGTTTGCCCCCATAACCCAAGCGTCTTCCACTAGGCCCCACCTCTTAACACCCTCACACTAGGGATTAAATTTCAACATAAGTTTATATGGGAATGAATAAACCGTATCTAAACTATGGAAGTAGGGTAACTTAGAGTTAGTAGCTGTACTGTGAAACTTTCACCTCAAGAGTTGAGGGGAATAAAAAGGAGAGAATGGTATTACCAGAACTTGAAGAATATGGAGGAGGGCCACCACATCAAATAACTTCTGCTACTTTCAGAGCTGGATCCATGAGGAGGAATTGCCAAGGATCATCACATGGATGATGCTTGGACCATCCTCCTAATTTTTATTAGCTTTTGGTTTATCCATAGATGTTTTCTTTTTGCAAAAATATATCTACATATATTCTTACTGTTGTTGTTTTTTTCTTTTGGCCAGGGTCGGGTTCGAACCTCCGGTATATGGGGCTGGTGCCCTACTCCTTTGAGCCACAGGCACCGCCGCCATAATAGTAAAGCATTCTCTTTTTTTGTAGTTTTTGGCCAGGGCTGGGTTTGAACCCACCACCTCCGGTATATGGGGCCAGCACCCTACTCTGTAGCGCCCCAGACGCCGCCCTCATATATTCTTTCTTACACAAAAGGTTGCCCTGGTGCATACATTGGTCAGCACCTTGGTCTTTTTACTTAATATAGTAGAAGCTCCATGATTAACCACTTCCTTACAGTGACAACCTTCTTAAGTTGACTTAATTTCATAGAACATGCATCATATGTACATACTAGTATAGTAGGCCTAGTTCATTAGGTTGGCCACCTTCATATGTTGACCAATTTGTTACAGTCTCTTGAGTGGTCAACTTACAGAAGTTCTACTGGGATAGAGAAAAGTGGTCTTGAAATATACCTGGGGCTTTGAGTGATGTAAGAGCCTTGACCTTTCCTCCCAATGCTAGATTCTTCTTACTGGCCATCTTTCCTCCTGAGCTCTCTGTGGGACAGGCTTTGCCAGGTCTGCATAGTGGTCTGATGGCTCCTCCCTCCCAATCCTGCTGCTTCTACACTTCTCACAAAAGCTACTTCCTGGTAAACCTTTTCATTCTGAATTATATTTAGCATTGCTTCCTGGAGAACATAACCTATATCATAATTCCTTCTTTTTTTTTGGAGACAGAGTCTCACTTTGTTGCCCTCAGTAGAGTGCTGTGGCATCACAGCTCACAGCAACCTCTAGCTCTTGGGCTTAAGCGATTCTTTTGCTTCAGCCTCCTGAGCAACTGGGACTATAGGCACCTGCCACAATGCCCGGCTATTTTTTTGTTGCAGTTTGGGTGGGGCCAGGTTCGAACCCGCCACCCTTGGTATTTAGGGCCAGCACCCTACTCACTGAGCCACAGGCACTGCCCCTGTATCACCGTTCTTACATAAATCATCATATTTCCTTCATGTTACTATTTTTTTACCTTAGGCTTTGCACGTAACAGCATGGTAGTGGTGTAAATGAATTGTCTGCCTCTATGTGTATGTTTTAACATAATGCTTTTTTTATCTGGATGTGGTGGCTCACATCTGTAATTTTAGCACTCTAGGAGGCTGAGGCAAAGGATCACCTAAGCAAGAGCAAGACCCCATCTCTACTAAAAATAGACAAACTAGCCAGGTGTTGTGGCGGGCACCTGTAACCCCAGCTACTTGAGAGGCTGAGGCAAACAGATTGCTCAAGACCAAGAGTTTGAGGTGGCTGTGAGCTATGACACCATGGTACTCTACCAAGGGTGACAAAGACAATGTCTCGGAAAAAAAAAAGAGCATAATGCTCTTCCTAGAAAATTTAGGGAATACAGATAAACACAAAGAAGTAAAATAATTTATAAAATCTCCATTGGAAGTAAATGGCTTATTTTGGTAAACTTTTAGAGAAGTGCATAAATATGCAGCTCAGTTGAATTGTTCATTTAGAACTCATCTATGTGACCTTGCCTAAACAGGAAACATAACTCTTTAGCAGTACCTCAGAATCCGACAGTGGTTATGTAACCACTGTCCTTACTTCTAACAGCATAAATTAATTTTGCTTGATTTTGAGCTTGATATAAGTATAATCATGTAGTATATTCTCTTCTTTTTTACTTGACATTACGTTTCAGAGATTTATTCATATATGTATACTTATTCTTTGCTGTATAATATTTCATTGCATGAATATACCATAGTGTTTTTTTTTGAGAGACAGAGCCTCAAGCTGTTGCCCTGGGTAGAGTGCTGTGGCATCACAGCTCAACAGCAACCTCCAACTCTTGGGCTCAAGCGATTCTCCTGCCTCCACCTCCCAAGTAGCTGGGACTATAGGCGCCTACCACAACGCTCGTTTGGTTGCAGCTGTCGTTGTTTGGCAGGCCAGGCTAGATTTGAACCCACTAGCTCATGTAAATGTGGCTGGTACCTTAGCTGCTTGAGCCTGTACCATACTTTTTTGTTTGTTTTTGAGACAGAGTTTCACTCTGTTCCTCTGGTTAGAATGCCGTGGCATTCTCATAGCTCATAGTAATCTCACACTCTTGGGCTTGAGCAATCCTTTTGCCTCAGCCTCCCAGGTAGCTGGGACTATAGGAATGCACCATTATACCTGGCTCATTTTTCTATTTTTAGTAGAGGTAGTGTCTTGCTTTTACTCAGGCTGGTCTTGAACTCCTGAGCTCAAGCAATTTGCCCACCTCAGCCAAGACTCTTATTTCTTAACCCATATCTTCAGAATAATTTTTTTAAATTAAGTCATAGTTGTGTACATTAATGCAGTCATGGGGTACAGTGTGATGGTTTTATATACAATTGGCAATATTTTCATCAAACTGGTTAACATAGCCTTCATGGCATTTTGTTAGTTATTGTGTTAAGACATTTATATTCTACATTTAGAAAGTTTCACATGTACCCTTGTAAGATGCACCATGGATGTGGTCCCACCAATCATCCTTCCCTCCCTCTCTCCTTTCCCCATATTCTTGGGCTATAATTGGGTTATAGCTTTCATATGAAAGCTATAAATTAGTTTCTTTTTCTTTCTTTCTTTTTTTTTTTGAGACAGTCTCAAGTTGCCCTGGGTAGAGTGCCATGGCAACATCGTAGCTCACAGCAACCTCTAACTCTTGGACTCAAGTGATCCTCTTGCCTCAGTGTTTTGTATTTTTTTGTAGAGACAGGGTCTTGCTCTGGCTCAGGCTAGTCTTGAACCTTTGAGCTCAAGCAATCCACCTTCCTTGGTCTCCCAGAGTTCTAGGTACTCTTGGCAGGATCCAGAGTTAGTTTTTCCTTTGAAGTTGGAGGTCTTCATCTTTGTTACTGGTCAAGGAGGCTAACTGCTATTCCCTTTGATGTCTGTCTGTCAGATCCTTGAACTAGAGGAATTATTGGAAAACAAACTTTCATTTTCATGATTATACTAGAACTTAGCTTTTGGTTTTCAGTGGAGAAAAATGTAATCAGAAGATTTCACAGATAGCTTATACTTGTCAAATTAAGGTGGTGCACAGCTAGTGTGGGAAAGTGCTGAAAAGCAGATTTTCATACTGAAGGGGGAAAAAATATGGACAGCTTGAATACACATGCCTGAATGTTTCCAAGCATCTACAGTTGAATACTGATGTTTGTTTCCTACCTACTATAGCTGTCAAGTGGAATGTCATGGCCAGCTCCTCGGACAGTGAAGATGACAGTTTCATGGCTGTGGACCAAGAAGAAACTGTGCTGGAAGGGACAATGGAACAAGATGAGGAGCCCCGCCCATTATTGGAGGTTGAGGAGACTAGACATAATAGGTCCATGTCAGAGCTGCCAGAAGAAGTTTTGGAGTATATCCTGTCCTTTCTGTCACCATACCAGGAGCACAAGACGGCAGCCCTTGTCTGCAAACAGTGGTATAGACTTATCAAAGGTATTGTGGAAAGGAGAGAAGTTTATTTCAAATTTCGTTGAATGGTTTATTTTTATCTTTGTTTATCAGGCCCAGGCAAGGCTCAAAATTGCCACCCCTGGTATATGGGCCCAGCATGCTAACCACTGAACTATAGTGGCTAGCTCAAGAATGGTTTATTTGTAGATTGCCAATTTCATTTTCTCTTTTCTTCCGTAAATGTATTGTGATTGGCTCGGTGCCTGTGGCTCACTAAGGTGGCGGGTTCGAATCCAGCCTGGGCCCGCCAAACAACAATGATGGCTGCAACCAAAAAAAATAGCCAGGCATTGTGGCGGGCACCTGTGGTCCCAGCTACTTAGGAGGCGGAGGCAGGAGACTCGTTGAGCCCCGGAGTTGGAGGTTGCTGTGAGCTATGATGCCACGGCACTCAACCCAGGGGGACATCTTGAGGCTCTGTCTCAAAAAAAAAAAAAATGTATTGTGGTTATAAAATTTAGTTTTTCACAATTAACACTGCATTTCCTTTTCTTACCTTGGTTAGTTTTATGAACAGCTTGAATACTAAAGTATTTAATCCCATTTGCAGTTTTAAAATGAGGTTCTTTTTAAAAGCTTTATATTCTTGGAGTTGATATGGTAAATTATATCGTTTTTGAACAGACTATTTAGGGATGGATATGGGTTAACAGTAATAGCTAACAGGTATATAGCTCTTACCAGGTGTCGTCAAGTACTGTGGTAAATGTAGTCTCAGAGCAGACTATGAATAGAATGTGTTCCATTTTACAGATGAAGAAACAGAGTAAGGCAGAGTTAACTTATTTAATGTGAAGAACATGAATAAGGCATTGTTAACCTATTTATACAGGATTAATGCCGCATGAAAGATTCACAGTCAGCAGGGCATGATGGCACCTGACTTTGGCCCCTTGAGATGCTGTAGTGGAAGGATTGCTAGAGCCTAGGACTTCTGGGTTCCAGTGCCCTATGTTGATCAGGTGTCTGCACTGGGTTTGGCATCAGTATGGTAACCTTCCAGTAGCAGGGGACCACCAGCTTGCAAGCTTCACATTCAGACAATCTGGCTTTAAGTGTTCGTATCTTTTTTTTCTTTCTTTTCTTTTCCTTTTTTTTTTGAGATGGAGTTTCACTATATTGCCTTTGGTAGAGTGCCATAGCATCATGGTTCACAGCAACCTCAAACTCCTGGGCTCAAGTGATTCTCTTGCCTCAGCCTCCCAAGTATCTGGGACTACAGGTCAGACCTTTTCTTTCTTTTTTTGAGGCAGTCTCACTCTGTCACCCAGGTTAGAGTGCAGTGGGATCAGCCTATCTCACAGTAGCCTCAAACTCCTGGGCTCAAGCGATCCTTCTGCCTCACCCTTCCAAGTAGCTAGGATACCACAGCTAACTGATTTTTTTCTGTTTTTAGTAGAGATGAAATCTCCCTCTTGCTCAGGCTGGTCTTGAACTCCTGAGCTCAAGGGATCATCCCACTTCAGCCTCTCAGAGTGCTGGGATTTTAGGTGTGAGCCACTGCACCAGGCCTCATTATATACATTTACATTACCTGCATGTCTTTTCATGATTTGCTACCTCATTTCCTGTTTAGTGATAAGTAATATTCAGTCCATGTAGGATAGTTACAATCTATTTTGTTTGCTTCTAAGTTTCAACAGTACAAATAAAGCTTCTATGAAGATCCATGCACAGGTTTTTGTGTGGAAGTAAGCTTTCTTTTTCTTTTCTCTCTCTTTATTTTCTTTGAGACAGAGCTTTACTTTGTTGCCCTCAGTAGAGTGCTGTGGCATCACAGCTCACAGCAACCTCAAATTCTTGGGCTCAAGCAATTCTCTTGCCTCAGCCTCCCAACTAGCTGGGACTATTAGGCGCTCACCACAACGCCTTGCTGATTTTAGAAATGGGGTCTCATTTTTGCTCAGGCTGGTCTCAAACTCATGAGCTCAGGCAATCCACCCACCTTGGCCTCCCAGAGTGCTGGGATCACAGGTGTGAGCCCACCGCTCCTGGCTGAATGTAAGCTTTCAACTCCTTGGACCCCTCTCAACGAAAAATAGAAAAGCTAAGCTGGTCATTGTGGTGAGTGTTTGTAGTTCCATCTACTTGAGAGGCTGAGGCAAGAACATTCCTCAAGCCCGAGAGTTTGAGGTGCTGTGAGCTATGACATCATGGCCCTCTACCCAGAGCAACTGAGACTCTGTCTCAAAGAAAGAAAGAAAGACAGAGGAAGGGAGGGAGGGATTCTATTTAATCATGTATTCATCACTTCATAATCCATTCTAAGCCAGTTATTATCTATATTTAAGATGAAGAATGCTTTATTGCTGTGGCCTAATATTTTTTAGATATTTCTAAATATCTAAAATATTTAGATATTTATTTAGATATTTAGATATATCTAAAATATTTCTAGATATTTATTTATTTTATTTTTTTAGACAGAGTCTCACTCTGTTCTCTGGGTAGAGTGCTGTGGCATCCTAGCTCACAGCAACTTCAAACTCTTGAGCTCAAGTGATCCTTTTGCCTCAGCCTTCTGAGTAGTTGGGACTAGAAGCACCTGCCAGAAGGCCTGGCTAATTTTTCTATTTTTAGTAGAGAAGTGGGTCTCATTTTTGCTCAGGCTGAACTCTAACTCCTGAACTCAGGTGATTATCACCTCAGCCTCCCAAAGTGCCACCATGCCCAGCCTTAACTATAGATATTTATTGAGTACTTGTTATATTCCACCTATGGAGATTGGAATATAACATACTTGACTGCCTACCTACATTGACCACTTCCTTAAGATGACCTAATTTTCATAAACCAGACATGTACCACAGGTACCTATCAATACAAGAGGCCAGTTGACCACCTCAATATGTTGACCAGTTTCTTATAGTCCTTTGGGTGGTCAACTTACAAAGGTTCTACTGTATAGTTCTATCATACTCTTTTAGGCTAAATTATCTCTGAGCCCCTTGGCTTTGGAATAATAATATATGTCCCAGTTATCTTGATGGGTCACATCATGATATAAAGGAGCTGGGGTTATAGTGAGAGCTGATTTTGTTGAACAAGTCACTTAATATCCTTGAACTTTGGTAAAGTAAAATGATTGCATCTTCCAGTTTTGAAATTCTGTTTCCTTTATTTGAATGCAAATCAAAGAAATTTGGAGCTGCTCAAAAAAACTTAAATCTTGTAAAAGTAACTAAACAGTTAATAGACACAGTTTTAATAACTGATTTACAGGTTAAGTGTCCAGGTTGAAGCATTTGCTCTTTTTGTCTTCAGGTGTAGCCCACCAGTGTTATCATGGTTTCATGAAGGCTGTCCAGGAAGGAAACATTCAGTGGGAGAGCCGAACTTACCCTTATCCTGGAACTCCAATCACGCAGAGGTTCTCACACAGTAAGTATTTACTGTAAGAGCAGATTCCACCCTGCCTGCGGTCACATTTCCACAGACTTCTCAGAGACATGTATTTTATCTTTTTTTTTTTTTTTTTTTTGTGACAGAGCCTC